ACACACACACACACACACACACACAGTAACTGTCAACCTCTAACATCGTTGTCCTGGGTGTCCCTGCTCACTACTGGCATCCCTTCCACAGCCACAGTGTTCAGTAATGTTGTGTGCAATAAGGCAACAAGAAAAAGTAGAAACTTTGGATAATAAAAGGGACAATATGGGATATCTGTAGTCCCTTAGTTACTGTTGCTATGCCTGTCAAGCTTTCAATTCTCGGCACATGCTCAGTTGACTGTAAATAAAGGTGGACGACATGTCTCTCCCTGTTTCTGTAGCACAAGTCAAAATCTTAATGATATGGGTGCCGCCATCTTGCATTGGCGATGTCATTTGGAGCGATGGTCTGCAGTACGCATCGTGGAGCTGTCACGTCGTCCATCTTTATATACAGTCTATGGTTTATAGTGAGAATGGTTGCAGATTTAACATGAACAAATTCTGGGTAGAGTTGGAAGCAGTGACGACTGCTGGTGGGAGATTAATTCAGTGTAGCTTGGTGAAAAAAAAAAATGCTGCTGAATTTTGAATGTTTCCAGTTGACTCTTAAATATGTCCTCAATGTCTAAATACACAAGACTGAGGAAACACTGAGGTTAAAGCAGCATGTCGGAAGAGAAAGATGTAGCCTGCCCATGTAGCGGGCTGGCAACTTAGTCCTACTTTTATTCATATGAAAAGAAAAGAAAGAAAGAAAATGCTGCTTTTTGAACTGCATGCAATGTTACAGGAGAAAGAGCATTGGCAACAAACATCACAAATGTTGGCGTTATATGATGCTGCAAATGTTAAAAACTCATCTAGAATATGTTTCTTGGCCTTGGAAGTAGAATTAGTATTACAAATACATCACAGAAACAGCCCACCAAATTGAATGCTAAATGCTAATGTACCATTTCAGCATGTGCAGAAATCTAAAGCTCAACAGGTCTAATATATCTAGTTCATGTTTGCTAAGCTATAAATTGAAAACTGCTGTTGGAGCGAGCATTGTCGCAAACAGGCAGTTGTTTCATTACTAATATGGTGTTAATGCCCAGAGTAACTAAACTGTTTATATTGGCAACTGTCACATCCCAAAAACTAAACGTGCACAAAAAATATATTTTCTGTCTTATCACAGCAAATTGAAAATTTCACACTATTGCTCGCAGAGATCTAAAACCAAGTTTCTGAGTTAAGTCTAGGTCAATTACAGATCTAGGATGTTGTCTTGTGTGTTCAGAATCAGGCACAACTTAACAGACTTGTAATGTAAACAGCATAAAAAAAAAAAAAATTAAGACCAAAAAAGAAAAAGAAAAATCTTTAAAATGCTGATTGAAAGAATATATCTCATACAAAAGAGAGAGAGCGAGAGAGAGCGAGAGAGAGCAAGAGAGAGAGAGCAAGAGAGAGAGGCTGTAGACTTTCGAACTTAGTGCGGTTTCTCTTTGTCAGAGAGCATGGGAGATGAGGGGCTTGTGAAACTGGTGCAGGGTGTGTAAAAAAGAAAATCCCTGTGTGCGATCAGAGACTGACAGCTCTCGCAGGAAAAAAGCGCTGAAACCTCCAGAGAAACACGACTCACTTGCTCCCTCTCTCCTCCCGTCTCCTCTCCACACACACACACCTGTGCACACAGTCTTTGTGGTGACAGTAATGGATCGTGGCGCCGTCGCGACAGGAGGCTCCAAACATTTACAGCTTTGTTTCACGTTATGAATGTCTGATTACATCCACCCCCTCCTCCTCCCAACATTACACCAATATGGTGCTACTGACTTTGGATGAGACATCCCATGAGCTGTAAATGACGAGAGGACGCACGCAACAAAGACGATGAGATACTGAAACACATGACTCATAACGCTGCGTTTAACGGTATCTACTGTTTCCTGTAAGTTTATGGAAAATGATCTAAAATGAATGGTTATGTTGAATATTCTTTATCTTTAAGTTCTTTTGTATTTCTGTTCAAACAGCTCAAAACTTGATTTCCTAACAAATAAAGCTCTGACTCTGATATGACTCTGCTCTTTACAACATTGAACGTGTCCCTCGTGCAAGAAAATGCAATTTAAAGATGAGCACCATATTTGCCAGACCTGTTGGAAAAGAAAGCAATGGTGCACACAGCTTTTTAATGTCATGAAAACAAGGAAAGAGGATTGATGACCTGAACAGTCCTGAAGCTGAGTGACAGGACAACTTTGTTTTATTAGTGCGCAGTAGGATCACTATGCAACCGATTTCCAGGAAATTCTGTGGAGTGGTGGGCATGAGCTAAGGGAAAGCAATTTAACCCATTGGTGGGTTAGGGTTAGTTTTTGTCCACTTTCTTTAACATTTTTATCTGGCTTTCATTTTAACCTATGGAGATTGTACCCATTAGGCAGGAGAAAGGGTTTGGGAAAAAGAATGAAACCAAGTACCTTATTTAAGCCAAAAATGAACTGCAAATTTTATTTTCTAACCCAACTAATTAGTGCATGACTGTGTGTATTTCTGTCACAATATATGCCGCAATGGTTTTTAATGTGTGTTCTGAGGTAGTCTTAGGTTCAGAGAGGAGGAGAAGTAATAGATAAGACATGACCCTTCATATATCGACAGGTCCGAGGGAAACCTAATGAGTGGGAATGAGTAGCGTTCTTCTTCCTGATGGCTTATTACCTTTTTAGATAATGAGTGTGTGTGTGTGTGTGTGACTCTCCTGATCTGCAGTCTCTTACTATTTGTCTTAAACTCTTTTACTATACGTCGCTGTACTGGTGGGAGGACAAGGTGAAAAAGGTGAGCTGGTGTGCATGTAGAAGAGGGGAGACATGATGCTTTTCCTGCACTTACAATCTCTCTTTTTCTCTTTCCCTCTGTGTAAAACCTTGGTGTGTTCACAGGAAAACCACCAGTGTCCCTGCTCCCTCGGGTGCTGTTGTGACCAGGACAGGGGCTTAGATATGTAAACCTTCTCACTCAGTGCTCTTTTGCCTTCTTTCTTTGTCTTTGTGGGCTTGGGGAAAAAAAAGGTCACCTTTTTGCCTCAGGGAACAAAGAACAATGTATTGCTGTGGTACTGGAAACAATGGTAAGCGGAGAGGAACATTGTTCTGAGCCAGACGAGACCCCAGGCGGTGCTGAGCAACAGCTCGTGGTCCTGCGTCAGGCCTGAGGTCGTAATCTGAGGCATCAGCTTGAGCGAATCGAACGCCGACAGAAAAAAGTTGCGGTCTTCATCAGTAATGAAGAGAAGGAGGGCTCTGCAGGAGTGCACATTTCAGAGCTGATCAGAGAAAAATAACAATAAAAAAACAAGGCTTCACATCATCATGTTAGAATGCTACACCTCACGTCCTCCCAGTCATTGGTTGATTTAAATCTCTTAGTTGCTGAAAGGCCCATTGAGCCATTTGGGGAAAGGGGAGGTTAAGAAAAAGGAGGAGGTCCTTCCATATAGGAATATAGGCCTATGAGTTCAGTAGACGACAGCAGGGATGGAAAGAAGAGGAGGAGGAGGGGGAGCAGCAGCTGCGGAGAGCCATGCTTATCATCTCTTGTAGTGGTTTGGCGCATCAGCAAAGGCGAACTTCAACCGGTAGGCTTCAGCCAGCAGCACACTCACTTCTTCGTTGCCCCAGTGCATCGTGGGAAGGTTTTGCAGGAGGATCATTAGCCCCTGTTGAAAAAAAAAAAATTTAGAGGAGAGATATAATTTGTGAAAGACAAATGAGAAAAGACAATAACAGTTTCAGAAAAAGAACTGAAAATATAAAATTAAAGAAAAACACATAGATGCAAGAAAACAATAAAAGCAAAGATAAATCAGCAACGGTTCAATAAAGAAGAGGGTTGAAAAGGTGATAGGGAAAGAAAGAAGGAATAACACTATGTAGACTATATAGGCAGTAGCTTATGTCTTTTATTGTCCTATAAAGCATTATATCTGTGCAGAACACAGCAGATTTTCAAACTAGGTTTAGTTCAGGCTCCTCCACTGGTATTTTAATTCTGATTTGACAAAAACTAATTTGGGTTTTCTCAAATTAAAAAAGAAGAAAGGGGCCATAAGACACAAGAGTGGAAGTGCAGCATCGATCTGATGTAACACAAAGCAAGTGCTCCTGCTGCACAGGTAACCAACGTCCACTGTTTCATCAAGTAAATATAAGACTTTTTAATAAATGCAATTAAGTGCAACGGATATGAAAAGAATATCAGTCCCAGAATTAATTAAACTCACCCTTCCTTAAGATATTCAGATTATTACAATCGAGACTTTTTTAGACCCCATGGAATCGCTGACTCGAAACAGAAAAGTGTGACTCAATAAACAGGTGCATCATGTTTTTTAGAAGGATTAAAAAGATGCATTACACATAAAATTTAATATTTCAAGCTTTTTTTTGTTTGTTTTAATTTTAATGATACGTTGATTATGACTTACATCAGGAAAACAAAAAAAAAAACTCTTCTCAAAATACTTGAATATTTCTTTGTGTCCAACTTCTGAAGAGTACATTCATTTATCCACTCAATGAATGCGGCGTGACATGGAGGCCCTTCTATATCTGACCTTCCTTGTGGAGGGTGTCGAGTCAGCAGTCTTTCCCATGACTGTGATTGCATCTACTGTATTTACCTTCACCAACGGTCAAATGTAGGCAAAAACTCCAAATACATCTAGAAAGGATGAAATCTCTGACTTCAAATCTTATCTGAATAAATAAAAATGCGATGAAATCTGCTATTGCAATAAAACTGTGTACAAGTATCTAAATGCAACGACAGCAGAAAATATTATCACAGGCAGTAGCTGCATTTGTGATCTAACAAAGTATAGCCTGAGGGGTTTGTCTGGATGAACAAGTTTAATGTTAGAGTAGCAGACAGGCACAGTTACACACGCTTTTTTTTTGCATCTGCGCGTGTGTGAGTGTGACAGAGATGTTATTAACTCAGTCAAAGTGGTTTAATAACAACTGGGAGACAGAAAGAGAGAAAAAACAGCAGTGGGTGAGGGGTTACGGGGGGGAAACAGTAAAGAAAGGATAAAGTGTCGAGTACAATTCAGTGAGGTTCAAGTCTTTCCCCAAATTCCTGTTCTGTACATTACTGCAAATACGAAGACCGACAACAGGCAAACGAACACACACACGCACGCACACACACAGAATCAGGTTGTCTCACTGCTAACCAGTCTCATTCCCCTTTGAGAGAGAGGCATTAGTTGGCAAGATTGAACCTCCGTCTGTGCGTGTGTGCGTGATGGCTCAGTGTCTCTACAGTTTTCATCATCAAGACTGAAATCATTGCCGTGACAACAGGGTTTACAACCAATCACGATGTTGATAATCACATCGAAGGACAAATCACATTGACTCTTCTGGTGCAGACACTCCTGAGCAATTTGCCAGCATCTGACAGGATGTGACCCCTGGTACGAGAAGTACTGTATCACCGGGTTAAGTATGTGGATATGAATGTGATGAGTTTTTGTTGTATTTCTATATTTTCATGCACAATGAGAAAATGGAAAAAAAAAAAGCAAAAGTACATGACTGTGTACATAATTGTTTTAAGAGTGAAGAAACAATACATCCCATAAACCATAGGAAACATGACAGTGCAGTACATGACCTGACTTGTAGTGATTTTCACCTCTTATGTCTTTCTTTAACTCAAAAATAAGCACAGCGTGTTAGAGAGGGAAACGGTTTCTCTGTGGGACATGTAATGTAACGCTGAAATTTAAACAACTCAATTGTACCAGCTCCACCTATCTAAGATGTGACTAATACACCTAAGGATTGTGATTTTTATTTCCAGAATTACATTGTTGAGCTCTAAACAACCTTTTTTTTTTTTTTCTACAACTGCAGAGAAAGTCAAACTTCACAAAACGTTAAGTGGATATATTCACTACAGCCAGGCACTTTGTATTATTTTACCCTCCTACAAATTAAATCCAAGGTGTTTGGCTCCAACATTTTTTTGCCTCTTCCTGGCTTGGATTTAATGAGCTAGTGAGACGACCCTGATGACTTTTCAACAATAAAAAGCTTTTTTATTCTGAGTGGGGGCTGGAAAAATGCAAGATTTCTTCAACTAATGAAGCTCAAAGATGCACTCCTGTCCAGATTATGCAGATTAAGACTGTAGGTGTTTCACCTCTGTTTCCCAAATTACTAATAGGTAAACCCACCTGTATATCACTTTTGACATTTTGTAAATTTAGATTTTTTTTAGCTTGGCTTAACCAAAAGAGCAGCTGGTGATTACCATGGTGACTGACGTTTATAAAATCTAGGAAAGATTCAAAGTTCAAAAATGTACAAGCTGTGAGGGGGCTGCTAAAAATGCTAAAAAGAAATTAGCCTCAGTGTCGACACTTCAAAAACGACTCTTAATTCCTGAGATCATTTTTAAAAAACTGCTTCATATGACTATAATCAAAACCCAGGCCATTGTTAATTCTACATTAGAAAAAACAAAACACCCTGCCATAATAGATCCTCCTTTGAAGAAGAAGACCTGGACCTTGACTTTGCACAATGACTTTCCCCTTGGTTGAGAAAAATGCACTTGTATGTATGTCCACTCTGAGGGATTGAGGGATGGAGAGAGAGAAAGAGCGGAAGAAAGACAGGAAGGCGGCCTGATCAGAATTCAGCTTGCCTTCCTCTCATCTGTATTCACCAGAGCTTCACTATCAGCTCTCCTTTCATCACTCACCCTTCTCTCACATTCACACGGGCACTTTTGAAATCCACCCCATTTTTGCTCACAGATAACACACTGCACAGTGGGTGCGTGAGTTGTGTCTTTATGTTAATGCTTATGTCTGCTGACGTGAAGACAATCAGATGAAAAAATAAAAAAGTAGTCTATTTACAAAAGATTGGGCTGAATACAAAACACCAATAACTGCTAGTTCATTTAGAATGGAAGAAAAAGTAGAAAATAGCCGTCAGAGAAATGTTCATGCAGCATCTTAATGTGTCTGTCAGCCATAGAGAGCGCAGTTCGTGTGTATGCATGTATTTATGTGAAAGTATATAGACTATAAGTGTTCTGTGCATCAGTGGTCATAGATGCCTGGGGGGAGACACCATGTACCTCCTCTAAGGAACTTTACTGCCTCAGGCTCTTCAGGCCCAAGGGAAGCTTCCCTATGTAGCCAAGCTACACATGATGTGGAGTAAGATCTGAACAATCAGCCAAATCATTAAACCCGGTTACCAGTTTAAATTACAGCCCAACTGAAAGTAGTTTTTTTTGGGTTGATGCAAATTTTGTAGACCTTTAAGCAACAACAGGAAAATCTCAAGAACATTCAGGCGTGGGGTGGTGTCTGGGTAAAACATGCAGGAGGCAGCACGTGATGTATACATTCTGCTGAAGAAACACATATTTTTGTTTATAGCCCATCGATAACCGTATAGACCCTTATTGACAAAAGCTCGCTCATCTTCTACATGTGTGACACTTCTTTTTTTCCCTGAGATATTTGGATTTGTTTTGCATCCATCATTTGTTAGAAATGTCAGCTACCAATCACTAGCTCACTGTGGATTTTCCAGGCATTGTCCTGCTGTATTCTCACATGGGCTGGGATATTTGACCCAAACAATGTGGAACCTTTAATGCGTAGAGGTTGAGACAAGTAAAGCTAAACAAACTAGTTTAGGAGAGCAATCATTATGCAACAGCAGCTAACTAACAGAAGCAATGTGGGGTGGTGCACATTTTAAACCCCCAGTGCACATACACTTGAAAGTGGCCTTCTCTGTAAAGTAGGATGCAGGTTGTATTTTGCAATTATACTTTAGAATTTGTTTTTTAAACTGAATGGAAATGAGAGTCCTTGTGGCCTGATGGAAAGACTGATGGAAAAATAGGGGAGGAATTTCCCACGTGATATATCTTTACAAATCAACAATAGGGACTGATTGCTGTGCTACATGCAAGAGAGGAACCAACCACTGTCTCATCATGCGCCACTTGTCACAGACGTTAGGCAACACACCCAAACAAACACACCCACACACGGGCACTGACGCATGCTCTGCCGCACAAGTACGCACGCACAGTGACTGAGGAGCTTCATTAAGAGCATATTTCTGCTTGGTAACCATCTGCTGGCTATCACTTCTGCTGGGCTAATGACTTTAATACGGTTTAATTGCATACATCTCGCTGTCAGGGGGGGAAACACTGCACCCACTCTACTCTGCACAGGTGGCAACACTCCACGCTGAGAGGCCACGAGTGTTTGTCTGAGTGAGTGTGTACGACTGCACGAGAGGAAAAAGGGGGGAACCAGTACAGTCCATGAAATTCAATTTGTGTTTGGGGGTGTTGTGGAGGCTGTGTATGAAATTAGAAACAAGAGATGGAGCAGAAGAGTGTGTGGAGATGTGTGCGTGTTGTAGGAGGAAATCAGTAAAAGAGACGATGTGGTATGTTTAAGGTGCAGGCAGGGCAGAAAATAGAGATATCTGTGTGTGTGTTTAGCTAGTCCTGTTGTGTGTGTCGCTGCTAGAGGTTATTGAGGCATGAATATCCATTTATCCCACAATACTAACAAACACATTGATCCACCATTACAGTATACAGTACTCTACAAAGGGAAAAAAACGCAATTAGCTGCCCATCTCCTACGCTTGGCAAGGCTTA